AAATCCACTTATTCTTTATTGTTAGCTGATTATGCAACAACACGCAGAATGTTCGGTGAGATGACTATGACCGGTCAAAGGCTGTCTGCGGAAGTACAAACGTAAAACTATTCGAACACACGATCTTCGAGTTGAGTTGCCGATGTTCTCAACCAATTGACGACCATCGAGACAATATGCACTATTGTTATCTTTATGATTGATAATAGCAATATCACTAGTTTTATGCTTACCGTCCGAATAAACGGATCAGCGAGCGATTAAACGGAAGTTTGTGAGGCGGCTGGATTCAACGTTTCGATTTAAGCAGATGGCGATGACAAATGGTGAAAGGCTGCAGATGAAATGGACCGTCTTCTGCGGAATAGGGAAGATTGATCGCTTCTCATCTGGACCAACGATGCATAGGTTATACTGCTTCAGTTCGAACTCTTACTCACCGCCCAAATCAATACGTTTTGACTACATTCGCCAGACAACAAGCGGCTCACATCGGAGAGTGAGTGAGCAGTGGGATGATGTGTTTGGGGACTGGAAGTGAAGCGGCAGGTGACGTGGACTAATGTGGCCAGATTCACAAAGATCAAAGATTTATTGTGGCAATCAATTACAAGCTCATGTTTTCTCGTCCCATAGGTTCGTATTGTGGTTAAAAGACAGCGATACCTACAATTCCTTGTGTAAAATATCACATTATACGAGCTTCTTCCACTGCTGCACGCAACTTCACTTATGTTGGAATGTAAGGTATGCTAATGCTTCATCGAGTCTCAGTTTAAAAGATTGAATGTTTGGCTCACAGAAGACGTGAGGTGGGAAAGAGTTCCAGACCGAACACATAATAACTGCGAATGACCGACGCCGGCATTCCAATCGGCACTTTGAGACCACTAGTTTGAACGGATGTCCTCTAAAATGAACTTTGGGTGATAATTTTAGCAGCGGGCGACACGGATGGCTTGGGTTTTGCATTATTTGGCATACCATAAACACGTCTCCTCTGATGCGCCGGTAGTGATTGGAATATAACCCCAACGACTTTAGTCTCTCGGTCTATGAATAACGATTCAACCCTCTAACCATTTTGGTGGCCGTCCTTTGTGGACGTTCCAGCATTTTGCAATCACGTTGAAGCCATTGGCTCCATGCCTGGATAGCGTACTGTGTGAGTGGGCGAATGCATGTTGACAGCAGACGAGGGAAAAGCGCTGCTTTAGACCGGTCAAAGACCCTCCTAAGCAAACCAACATTCTTTACAGCTGCTTTCGACACCTTGGAGACACGGTGACAGTAGTGGTCCGACCAAGATCGCGTGCTGCTGCTGCTGCTGTTGCTCAGAAGTCTACACCTTTTTGTCTCCCGTCTGTGTGGAATCAAACTGTGCATCATTAGGTCATTCCTCGAAACCTTGGCCTTTGTCACTAAACAACACAATGGAGGTCTACCAGCCCAAACACATGGTTATATCAGTCAAACGTTTAACTGTCCACACAATAGTTTTTTTGAATTCTGGTCGTGGATTTGAAACCCAACATGACACAATTAAAAACGTGTAAAACTATCTCCCGGTTATGCTTCCTGTCTATGATAGTGATTTTCACAATGAGCCTCAAATGAACAACAACAAGAACAACAACAAAAAATGCCAGTATTGCGTCATTTGGTGGCGCGAACCATTCAGAGAAAGCATGATAAACCGATTTAAGAAAGACAAACAGTTTCCCCACAAAGTTCACATCAGCTTGAGGATGTTCTTGTGAATCGGTGCGTCTATGATTGTCGGGGTTATACACACACACACGCACACACACACACACACCATTCCAGTTGCATGTGAGCTTTGATTACCCCTGAGAAAACAACGCATCAATGTGAAACAGGATCAAGACAATCAACGGATAACTGCCTCCAATCGAGACTCACGCGAACGTAGGCCACGGTACGCATGGCTATGGTCGAGATGTACATGGAATTCATAATGAAATCCAATAAATGCCACATGTCCATAATGTATGCGCGTATACCCCAGGTGTAGATTTTCTTGATCTCTTGCCATACAAATCCTGGTCACAAATGCACACACACACACATAAAGAGACAGAGAGACGGGGCGCGAGACGATGAGAAGCGAGAATAAACAAATGAAAGTTAGTAAAGTGAAAGTAAAACAAAGTTAACCCTATTATTATTATTATTATTATTATTATTATTATTATCACAGTCCTCAACGGTTTTTAATAAATTTGCATTTTTACTGTACCAAATGTTGTTTTCATTGAGAAATTAATCGCATAGAACAGGTTGAGCGAGGACGCAAACGCTATTAAGCTCATTCCTCAGACTACGTGGGGGTGATTTAGCTCAAACGAGCGAGGTGATGGGAACTAGGTAGGTCAATGGATCACTTTGGTTCGTGGGAATTATAAGCTGAGACGTTCCAACTCACCGGATCCTATGTTTGTCCTGTACACATATTTCATGCAATCAGTTCTCTTTAATATTTTCATGAGAGCCAGAAGAAGCATCATGATCACAGGATGTGTGTTGAATTCAACTATTTCGTAGTAATCATCTCATCAGCTGTGTACACATACATTCAGATCACGTTTGGGTAAAAGAGTGACAGGTTTCGGGACAGACGAACACAACACACGGGAAAAAGAAATCAATCAATACGAAGTCCAAAGGCCACTCTAATGAACCGGATTGAGCATAGGAGCAGGGAGCGGAATTACTGCCCAATCCGGTTCATTAGAGTGGCCTTTGGACTTCATATTGATTGATTTCTCTTCTCCGTGTGTTGTGTTCGCCTGTCCCGAAACCTGTCACTCTTTTACCCAAACGTGATCTGAATGTATGTGTACACAGCTGATGAGATGATTACCACGAAATAGTTGAATTCAACTTACATCCTGTAATCATGATGCTTCTTCTTGCCTTACACATATGTTTTTGGCGTGTTCATTTTTCAAGCCTGTACAATGTCATTTATATGATATGAGGTCGATCCTCAGGCATCCCAGTCAAAGCTTTTTTCATTTTACTTCCTTTTATTGAATATGCAATGGTACAATTCGCAGGAAGAGGGAAGCGGCCAATCAAACGGGGCTGCCATTCAACACACCGAAATGTGGAGTCAGGCGATTGTGGTGGGATTCGAACGCACATCCACGGGGTGAAAATTTGGTGATGTTAACACCGGACCAACACCGCCCAACTATCAATGAACTCACGGGAAGCGATCCACACTCATGTCCAAGTATTCACATGTATGAGTTTTTTAGCGCCAATACTATATTGCCATGTAGATGATATCGATTGAGTGGGGGAACACCAACCTCGATCATGCTGCGTGAGAATTCAACTTGATACATTGGTCAATTAGGTCAATTAGGAACCGGAAGAGCACCGATATCATTCATCTTTGGATATTTATCGGATTTAAACTCCCTGATAGCACTAACGAGAAAAAAACGATTTTTCCTCAACTAGCATGGAGTACGAGTGCTCGGACGCCATCTCTCACAGAGAGCAAAGTGCATCTGTTAGGAAGCTACTTTAGACAAACAAAATGAAGTGAAACTATAGTGAGGAGAACCTTACTAGGATATATCTTCTATTCCAAGCAGTTGAACTGAACAGAGAAGGCCCATTTCAAAGGTGAATTCGTCGTGTGTATATGGCAAATGAAACGTGTGACCTAGTGAATCGAAAATTATGGAGAAAGACGAAAAACACTTTTGACCGCCTCAGATGAGAGCTAAAATTGTCATAGCATACTTTAGAAGTAATGATGATGTCCTCAAACTTGAACCAGGAGCTTCGGATTGCGGCTGGAAAATAGTGCACTCAAACATTTCGTCGGGTACCTCACAATTCGATAACCAAATTAGCTCACCACAGCTAACCGGAATGTGGTTGAGAAAACGGTAGACAATTGTTTGAAATAAAACAGTCTATTGGTGTGAAGAAACAGTTGTGGAGAACAGTAGTCGGCAAATGATCTCTTGTGTGGAATCCAAATAACCAAAACTGGGTATTTTTCCACATGGAACTGAGTTCAGCTCACCAATTACATAAATCACCAGAGCTGCCTCCGACAACGAAGGCAACGGACCCCGATCGTTCATTCTTTCATCCATTGTGTTCATGAGCAAAGCTTCGATTCGTACAGCGGCCAGTAAAAGTAATCCTACAAGCGGAACGGAACGCATGATCAGGGTGAAATTAGGCCAGTCCATCTGTTTTTGGTAATCGTGCATGTTAGTTGAAACTGAAACTGATTGCTCAGAGCAAAGAATAAGAACATTTTATGCTGTCAGTCAGTCAGTCAGTCAAAGAGATACTAATTGTTCGATGAGTATTTGGTGAACACCATTCATGGGACTCAAATGAAAGGGTGCTAAACAGGTTCCTCGGGATTCGGGCCCACGACCGCACCGCGTGCGGTTGATGATCAGTTAACTGTGCAGTGATGCAGCTCACAAATGATTCCTATACATATACTTCAAAAATATCTTCTTTCTGATCGAGATATGAACTTGTGTCGGAGCATATCACACAACAAAACATGGTGCCATGGTTTTGAGCCTTGATGCAGAAAGACCTCCGAATTCCCCGTCGCGGTTCGTCGATTAGCAGTCGTGTATCTTATATATA